GGGCGGGCAGGGCCGGGCGGTGGGTGGTGACGCTTCGGTGGCCCTCCACAGGTGTCACAGGGAGGGAAGACCATCTGCCTGAGTGGCTTCATGGGCATGGACATTCCTCCGCCTGGCGGGCCGCTCTGGATCCTGGGCGACGTCTTCATTGGCCGCTACTACACCGTCTTTGACCGCGACGAGAACCGCGTGGGCCTGGCTGAGGCCACCCGTGTGTAGCCGGTGCACCCGCTGGCCGAGAAGGAAGTGTCCCGTTGGAGGCGGCGGCCGCCCCGCCCTCCCCCACCGCACACACTCGCCCGTTCACAGTCCAGCTGTCGGGAGGCCGCCGGCCTGATGGGCCATGGTTTTGTTCTGTGGTTTCCTCTCCCCAGATTCAGAATGCTGCCCGCCCGCCTGTCCGTCTGTCTGTCTATCTGATGGAGGGGTGGGCCCGGGAGCTACCGGTAGGCCCGCCAGGCTCAGTGCCTGTCGCTCGTCTGAAAGACCCAGCTCGGCTTGGTGGCCAGTCAGTGTGCGTCCCAGGCCCCTCCCCCCGGACTTCCTGCCCCCTCGGGGGCCTGGCTGCTCTGGCCGGGCCTCTGCACCGGGCCGTTCTCTCCGTCCCTCCAACGAGCCTGGGGCCCGGAGCTGGGTACTGCCACCCCACCGAACCCGTTTGTGTGTCCAGCCCAGTGACGAAGGGGGACCAGAAGGGCTAGGAGGGGACAAAAGCCAGCCTTGCGAGGCCTGAGGGTTATCCTGGGGCTCAAGCCCATCCAGGAGGACATTGACTGGCCCGGGGTGGGACAGGAGGGGAGGGGGGCTTCTCTGTGGCTGCCTGCACTTGACCAGCAGGAAACCGAAGTCGACATGAAAATACAGTTCTTGGTTCTCTCTCTGTGTTGGCGTGTTTTGTTTTGTGCTTGGCAGGGCAGGCGGCTTAAACCCAGATTGGGGAGGAGCTGGGCGATGGCTGCGTTTCGGAGGCCAACTCAGCCGTGGGGCCTCTGGTGGTGCCCTGCATCGGGGACCCTGGTGGCTGGCAGGGCCCGGCATGGACCTCAGCCTGGAGCAGTGACCAGCAGGATGGTGCTGGATGCCATAGGGCGGCCGCCTGGGGTTTTTGCTGAGGCGTGATTCCCCAGAGGGGTTCTCGCCCTCGGAGGGGACCCCAGCAGCAGAGTTCAGTGCTCCCCGGTGCCGTGCCCACCCCACTGGGGGCTAGCGGGGTGTGGGCAGCCTGTCTCCGTGTGGAAGTCAGGCCAGTGCTGAAGCAGGCCTGCCTGGGGTCAGTGACACCCTGTGCCCAGGGCTGGATCTCTGGGCAGGGGTGTCTGCCCCGATGCAACTATGTGGCCAGGAGGGTTTGAGGGGTGGATAGGAGTTGGGGTACTTGGCGGAGAGGCGGGGCCCCCTCTGGGGCTCCTGCTCGGAACCCACCCCCTGCAGGTGTAGGCATTCGGCAGATGTGACGTTTGTAACTGTCCCGGTACCTATGCAGCCTACAGGGCTGTGGCCGTCACTGGCCTGGCCCCAGGGCATTTGGGGCGATGGTGCCCCCCACAGAGCCTTCTCTGGGGAGCGGTCCACCAGAATAGCAGGGCGGCTCATGCACATGCGCCTGGGGTGTCTGTCCTCTGCCTGAAACTCGAGCAGCGCCTGGCAGGGTTCCTGGGAAGACGAGTCATCAAAGCTCCGTGCCCTGGGGGCCTGGAGGGCAGGGCCACTGGGAAGGGGGCAGCCCCCCGCCCTGCCCCAGGCTCTGTCTCCTCTGCTCCCTCAGGCTCCCACCCACCAGGCCGGCATGGCCCTCAAGGCACCTGCCCCCCCAGATCTACCCCACGGCTCCTGTCCCCCCAACCCCCATGCTCTGGGACCCTCTCAGGATCCCCTCCTCTGGAATGCAGCTGAACCCCACACTCTCTGGATGAGGCCGAGCCCCCAGCCCCCAATCCGGGATCAGGGTCATTCATTGCTCCTGCGTGGAGCCTGGGGACCCACGGCCGCCCTGCTCTGGGCTCCAGCCTCCCTGACCCCACCCCAAGCCTCCGGCCTCTGCCCTGGACGTGAGTGACCACAGGGCACTCGTGACCACGTCTGCCACCCGCCTGGAGGAGCCCACACAGTGCTGGCTCTGGCCCTGGCTGGCTCACCCTGCTCTGCACCAACTCAGCAGGCTGGGGGAGCAGGGGTTCCTGCCCTGTACCCCTGCCTGGGGACACCCTGCCCAGCTCCGCCCCTTCACTCAGGGTGGAGGCCGGTGGGGGCTGCTGTACCTCCCGAGGTGGGCCTGGGGGCCTCGAGGCTGCCTCAAGGTGGTCTGCAGGAGAGAAGCGTGATGCCCCCTAGTGCCCCCTGCCTGCTGCCCAAGCACCAGCTGGCCTGGTGTGCAGAGCAGGCCCCACAGGCCGCTCCTGCAGCCCCACTGTGCGGCGCAGCCCAAGGCAGAGCCTGTGCTGGGTGAGCCAGGCCTGGCCCCAGAAGCCTGCCGCAGACACCAGGGAGATGGTGCGGGGCGCAAGGCCACACACAGGCCTGGACGGCACCCCAGGCTCAGCCCGAGATTGGAATCTGGGTGTCCCCAGCCAGGTGCTTGGGAGGGGGGCAGTGGGCGTTGGAGGAGGGGAACGGAACCCTGGCTCCTCGCAGGCCCGTCCACCCTCGTGCCCGAAGGCCCTGGTGTGGCCAAGCTTGGGGGATCCCTACTCACGGGGTTTAGCACCATCCTTAAGGCTGACTGTGCTGGGGGTTCCTGACAAGCTGTGGATGAAGCTGTGCCGGGGAGAGCAGGAGTGGGGGGCCGGGCTGGGCAGCAGGGAGGCTTACAGAGGGGGTGGGACCCGTCCCAGGAGACGGGTTCAGAGGGGGCTCAGGCTCAGAGTGCACAGAGTTTCAGGGAGAATGGGGGTTCAGGGAGGACTGGGCGGGACTCGGAGGGAAGGGGTTCCTGGGAAGGACTCAGGCCCAGTGGGGAGGGTCGTGGGGAGAGGGGGAGACGGGTTGAGGCAGAGCCCAGCATGGCCGGGGCCTCTGGGTGGACAGGGCAGGCCGTCACACTCGGGGCGTCTCCAGGGGGCCGGGGTCGGGGACTTTGGAGGGTCTGGGCTTGGTGGGGGCCAGCAGAGGGTGAAGCGGGCCCAGCTCAGAGGGGGCAGCTTTGTGGTGGGGGGTCTGGGGGAGGCAGAGGCCGTGGGGCTTCGCCACGATGGGGGGTACCACTGGGACTTCTGCAGGATGGAGGTCAGTTGGGACGACGAGTTGGAGACCAATGAGAGAGAGCGAGCCTGGGCGTGGTGGGCTGGATGGAGGGGCCAAGGCTGCGAGGGCAGCACAGGGCAGGTGGCCTGGGGGTCGGACCACCCATGGGGGACAGGTCTCGTGGGACTGGCCAGGCTTGCAGAGAGGTGGGCGGGTGAGTGGACGGAGCGCCAAGGAGGCAAATGTCACTGGGGCTTGGAGGAGGACACCCAGCCGCATGGCCAGGGGGGCCACTCGGTGAGAGGCCTGGACTTTGTGGGGCTCGGGGGCTCGGGGTTGGGGTCAGATTTGGGGAAAGGAGGGGCAGGGTCTCCGAGGCTCAGCGGGGAGAGGGGGCTTTAAGAGTGGCCTCGGGGGCAGGGGCGGGAGAGGACTGGGCTGGGGTGGGCACCAGGGTGGGCTTGGTGAGGTGCCCGGCCCAGGGGGAGACAGCAGTGGCGGACCTGAGGGTTGCGAGGGGTCAGACACTCAAGAAGGACCTGGGCCTGTGAGGGCCTTGGCGGGGGCAGGGTGTCAGGAGGAAGGGACTCTCTGGGGACCAGTGGGGGGACCAGCTCCACATAGGCCTGGGGCTGAGCGAGGGGGAGGGGCGGGCAGTGGACTGGGGTCCGAGCGACGGGTGGCATGGGCACGCAGCCGGACGCTGCCGGGGCCCATCCCTGGCCATCTCTGCTCCCCCAGGGTC